GAAAGTACCTTTTTGTCTAAATGTTTTTAAAAACTAATTTAAAAAAGTCCCTTAATCCAACCAGGTCCCTAACTCAAAATCGGAGCCGCCATATTACCGTTCCTCCTTGACTATTATCCAATTAATCACCGCGCTTTGGATTTGTATAAGTTCTTCAACCGTAGCTGCGCGGTTTCCTGTATCCCGCCATTTCACAGTTCATTCATTTTCTCGACAAGAGTACAAGAGCTAGGGTTTTTCGTTCAGGTATTTATTTCTGCAACCCTTGACTATTCGGCAATTACCACCGCGCTTTGGATTTATATATTTCATTTGCATTGGAGACTACGGATTATTCCTCCAATTATCTATGAATATTGTGCTAGTCTTGTATATTTTGGACTTTTGTATGAAGTTCTGTGGAATGACTTGATTTTTCTCCGAAATTTGTCAGGTTTGAGMATTTGGCAACGATGTATCTAGTTTTACATAAACGACAATGGCGACAAGTTCTACACCACTAAGATTTGTGTTTCTTGTTCATCTTTTGGCTGTTCGTTAGAAGTTACTGTATCCCACATGTCTACGGAGTCGCAGGCTACAACACCCTAATGCAAATAATAGAGATGCTGAATTTAGGTTTTGGATGGTAGGGAATCTCACGACCTTACGTTTCATGGTGAACATATCGGATTCCTCCGTTCATCTCTATCTTTTTGAAACGATTCGCTCTTCATGAGAAGAGGATTCTTAATTCAGAAATCAGAGATTCCTACTTTCTGTTTTGCGTTATTTTTTCAAACACCTTTTTTTCTTTGTCCTAATTGAAGTTAGTTCTCTTTTCTTTGCTTCATAATGTGTCCAATTCAGAATTCAACTTGACCTCATTGATTGGATTAAACTTCTGACTATGAAATCAAAAGAGTGATTTTTTTCGGTTGCTTAAATTTTACATGAACACGTTAGTTGTGAAGCTCTGTGGAGTATGGAAGTGAATGTTGATTTTTTGGTAGTAGGTTTTAGTTGTTGGTTGAAGCTCTGTATATGATTCAATGGAGGAAGACGAGGATCAAATTTTGCTGAACAACTTGGGTGTGACGTCTGAAAATCCGGAGGATATAGAGCGGAACTTGTTGGAGGAGGTATTGGCCTGAATTCTTATCCTGTTGTTCTAATTGCAGGATTTTGTTTGTAGTGTGTTATCACTTTAATGTTTAGGTTCATAATGGTTTTGCCTATTTAGATTTTCTCAGTTCAGTATGATGGTGCTAAAATGAACTAGAAATCAGCTATAAACTAGTTACAGTCAGCATCATTGAAGGATTTGTTTTTGAATTGCAGGCCAATAAGAACAGTGAGAATGGGGCTGAAGTTGGAGGGATTGCAGAAGAGAACGCCTGTGATAAGTTAGATAGCATTGATTCATCTTCTGCCAGTCATGTGCAGCTCTATCATAAGCTGAGGGCCGTAGAATATGAGATAGATGCTGTTGCATCAACAGTGGAACCAGTGAAGAAACTTGAAAGAAATGAAAAACATACTTACGTTGGCACTGTTTCTCAGGAGCATGGGCTTGAGGAGGACTATGTTTCAGCTTCTACTGATCAACTTCAGCGTGCCCTAGCAGTTGACAGGCTAAGAAGCCTGGAGAAAACCCGACAGCAGTTGAAGATAGATTTTTCCCATTCGTGCAGAGTCAAGGATGCTAAGACAATATTGGAGATAGTAAAAGACAAACCAAAACTTAAAAGAAAGTCTAAAGAGGTTAAGAAATCAGGAAACAGCGTAGAAAAGAGGTTGAAAGTTGTGTCATTTGATGAGGATAACAATTTTGATGCAGCTTTGGATGCAGCCACCGTGGGCTTTGTTGAAACAGTGAGTTAAACTGTTTTCAAATGCTGCACTCTGTAAGATGCTTAACAAGTCTTCTGTACTTATAAATAGAAATAGCTGTTTACATTTGACACTGAAAAAAATATTATGCAGTGGGGGAGTAACTTTGCATTCTGTCTTAGGAAAGAGATGAATTGGTACGGAAAGGAATTTTAACACCATTTCACAAGCTGAAGGGCTTTGAACGCTGTCTTCAGAACCCAGGTCAATCAAGGCATGAAGTAAAGGAGGAAAAAGAGGAAAACGATGACTTCGCTTCCGTCAGTGTTGATAGAGCTCTCCGGTCCATGTCAGAGGCCGCACAAGCTCGGCCAACCACTAAACTGCTTGATCCAGAAGCTTTGCCAAAGCTCGATCCACCAACTCATCCTTTCTACAGGTTAAAAAAACCTGCAAAGGTTCCTCTATCTGCAGAAGACAAAGTCACGAAGAAAATAAAATGCAAAAAGACTAAACGGCCTTTACCAGACAAAAAATATAGAAGAAGAATTGCAATGGAGGAAAGAGATGAGGAAGTAGCTGGTAAGTCTCCTGTTTGGCATGTGGTTATTCTACAAGTCATTCTATACAAGTTCACGTTGCAGTTTCCTTGATTCTATGGTTGGCAGTTGTCTCTTTTGCGTGATGTTAGAGTCTGAAATCTTAATCACGTCATCCGTTAATCATAGAATGTAGGTTTCAACCTCTGTTCTAGTTGCTATCTTCCCTGTGATCTAAGAAGGCTAAATCCGTTATGTCTTTTTGCAAGTAGAATATAACAAGGCATCAACTGAAGCCCTTGAAGACTATGTTTGATTTGTTTACAATTGACTTGTGAAGGCAAATGATACATATATTTCAGGATTTTTTCTTGAATTAATATATATTTTTTGGATTTAGGATTTGGTCCTCAACCCCATTATGCATAGTTGTAAAAAATAGGTATTGGGTAGCATATTCCCAATTAATGCATCAATGTGGTATCCTCTGGCAGTTATATGATAGTAATCATCTGTAAATGAAATAGTTGTTGTCAAGTCCATTTAGTGACAGATTCAGACGCTTGAAAACTTCATGAAAAAATTTCATAGATATATGGGACTTTGCTAGCGGAGAAAATTTACTTCATGTACTTTTTCCAATGGTTACATGCAAGAACTCATGCTGTTACCAACATATGTCTTACTAAGATTAAAATTTATTGTCCTACTCCTTGCTAAGATTAAAATTTATCGTAATAGAGCATTGATATATGAGAAAACTTTACTGTTTTTAGTCAGTAATTGTGGAATGTTTTGTGGAATAAGGATGTCATGGGATGCTAGTTATATTATATCCTTAGCTTCGGATCTGTTACGAAGAACATTTTATTTTTACCTGATGTGTTATTTACTTTCCAGAGAATATGTCAGATGGTTTGTCTACATCAAGTTTTGAAAGAGAAGATTCAGGAGACTTAGAAGATGAAGTTACCGAACCTTCTTTTGTGACGCTTGAAGGTGGGCTGAAAATTCCTCACAGCATATTTGATCAGCTCTTTGATTACCAAAAAGTTGGGGTGCAGTGGTTATGGGAATTGCACTGCCAAAGGGCAGGTGGAATTATCGGAGATGAGATGGGCCTTGGGAAGACAGTCCAGGTTTTGGCTTTTTTAGGTGCATTACATTTCAGTAGTATTTATAAACCAAGCATCATTGTCTGCCCTGTTACACTAGTTAGGCAGTGGAAGAGGGAGGCAAGGAAATGGTACCCAGGCTTTCTGGTGGAAATCCTACATGATTCTGCTCATGATTCTACTTTTAGGAAAATGCATGAAAACTCTCATGGAAGTGATGAAAGTGAAGATTCTGAGGACACCGATTATAGGAGAAACTTGCAACCCAAAGGCACAAAAAAATGGGATTCCTTGATCGACCGTGTTTTGAGCTCAGAATCCGGTATGCTTATTACCACTTACGAACAACTACGACTGGTAGGGGAGAAGTTGCTTGACATTGAATGGGGTTATGCAATCYTGGACGAAGGACATCGTATTCGGAATCCAAATGCTGAAGTAACTTTAGTTTGCAAGCAGCTACAAACAGTACACCGCATAATAATGACTGGTTCTCCAATTCAGAACAAATTGACCGAGCTGTGGTCTTTGTTTGATTTTGTTTTCCCTGGGAAGTTGGGGGTATTGCCCGTATTTGAGGCAGAGTTTGCAGTTCCTATATCTGTTGGTGGCTATGCTAATGCTTCCCCGTTGCAAGTATCAACTGCATATAGGTACATATTGTGAAAATGTTATAAATGTTTGGTTTTTTATTTTTATTTTCTCCCCTTTATTTTCTTCTTCTTTTCTTACGAATATTTAGAATTTATAAAGTGTATATATGAGGTGGTTTATGACTTATGAGGTGGGTTTATTACGATGTTGATGACATGTAAAAGATGTTTTACTGAAAATAGTGGATGAAGATAGTTCTTTGATCTTGTGTTCTTTCTCTCCCTCTCTCCTTTTTCTTATTCAATAGCTGAACATCACCAACCTTTGAAGTTCTCATTATGCAGGTGTGCTGTCGTTCTTCGTGACTTAATCATGCCTTATCTGCTCAGGAGGATGAAAGCTGATGTGAATGCTCATTTGCCAAAGAAGACTGAACATGTTCTCTTCTGCAGCCTTACTTCCGAGCAACGTTCTGTTTATAGAGCGTTCCTTGCGAGCTCTGAAGTGGAACAAATTTTGGATGGGAATAGAAATTCTCTTTCTGGAATTGATGTAATGCGTAAAATTTGCAACCACCCAGATCTGCTCGAGAGGGATCACTCTTTCCAAAATCCTGACTATGGTAATCCTGAACGCAGTGGAAAAATGAAAGTGGTTGAGCAAGTGCTGAAGGTATGGAAGGAGCAAGATCATCGTGTTCTTCTTTTTGCGCAAACACAACAGATACTCGACATTTTAGAGAAATTTCTGATAGGAGGTGGTTATACTTATAGGAGGATGGATGGTGGTACTCCTGTCAAACACAGAATGGCTTTGATTGATGAATTTAATAATTCCAATGAGGTGTTTATTTTTATTTTAACAACCAAGGTTGGTGGTCTGGGAACAAACTTAACTGGAGCAGATAGGGTGATAATATTTGACCCTGATTGGAATCCGTCAACCGACATGCAGGTGATGTGCCACGTTTCTGTTTTAATTTATTGAAGTTGTTGTTCGATTRAGGTTCATTACTTTGTTTAAACCAGTAAAACTATGTTGAATTACTGTACTGGCCCTAAAGTTACCTGCAGTTTTGAAGTTAGCATCTTTTACATTTTCCTACTTATTAGTTATTATGATATCGTGGAAGATTTTTCTTCCTATTCTCTGGTATGGGGTGATAAATTTTACATTCTTATATTCAGGCCCGGGAGCGTGCTTGGCGTATTGGTCAACAGCGGGATGTAACTGTGTACAGATTGATAACTCGTGGAACTATAGAGGAGAAGGTGTACCATCGACAGATATATAAACATTTTCTCACGAATAAGATATTAAAGAACCCACAGCAGAAAAGGTTCTTTAAAGCTAGAGACATGAAGGATCTCTTTACACTGTATGAGGATGGGGAAGACAGATCAACAGAAACATCAAACATTTTCAGTCAGTTGACTGATAGTGTAAATGTTGTTGGTGTTCAGAAAAATGAGAATGATGAACAAAAATCTTGTAGTGGCTTAGTATCATATGCAGATTCTGCTGATAACAAACCATGCAAACCAGAAGTTGAAACTTCTGGGAGGAACGGTTCTGTAGAGACTGGTCAGGGTGGTGGAACAGACGAAGACACGAATATCTTGAAGAGCCTTTTTGATGCRCACGGCTTACATGTGAGTCTCATCCTTTCTAATCTCTAAGRTGCATTTTCGTATGTCTTGTTAGTCTGTATTGGGGGAGTGGCAGTATTTTTTCTTTTCCCCTTATGCAACTGTGTGCATTATTTATTCATTACCGACCGAATAGAACTATGAACTATCCTCTCTAAAAGAAACTTTGACCAAGGTTTGACGCTTTGGTTTTCTGTTCAGACTTTTGTTGTTTATTTTCTCTGTGTTAGCTTTATATCCTTCTTTACATGCAGAGCGCTGTGAATCATGATGTCATCGTCAATGCTGATGGGGGGGAGAAGATACGGCTTGAGGAGCATGCTTCTCAAGTTGCACGTAGAGCAGCCGAGGCATTACGCCAGTCTAGAATGCTGCGAAGTAATGAGAGTATCTCCGTTCCAACGTGGACCGGAAAAGCTGGAACTGCTGGTGCACCATCATCCATGCGTTGGAAGTTCGGTTCAACTACGAACACACAGGTAACCAGTAATTCTAAATCCTCAGATGAAGTATCTAGAAATGGAGCTAGTCATTTAAATGGGTATGCAGCTGGGGCATCTTCTGGAAAGGCCTTATCTTCAGCAGAGCTGTTGGCTAAAATCCGAGGAAACCAAGAAAGAGCAATCAGTGCTGGGCTTGAACATCAAGTTCAACCATCTACTTCAAGTACTCGAAACAATGTAAGAGGTGCTGGTGTTGGGTCTTCTCGGTCATCTAAGAACTTATCTGGATCACAACCCGAAGTATTGATTCGTCAGATATGTACTTTTATTCAGCAAAGAGGTGGAGCCACTGATTCAGCCACAATTGTACAGCATTTTAAGGACAGGATACCCTCGAATGATTTGCCCCTGTTCAAGAATCTGCTGAAAGAGATAGCAATATTAGAGAAAAGCCCCTGTGGTTCATTCTGGGTTCTGAAGCCAGAGTATAAACAGTAATCTAAGTAGGCAGTTCTTTCATATGACCATTGCATCGCAGCCTTGGGTAGATCCGGAGACTGTTTCAGAGTTTTCCTCACCGTTATTCTTTCATCATTTCTTTAGTTTTTTTGTTATCTTTGTGGGCGTAGCATATATATATATTTATTTAAAGATTCTAACCAATTTGCGCCTTCACTGGGAAATCATACCTTGTGTACAGCTAATACAGTGGAGCAGATTGTCAAGGATTCAATTTGTAGAGTCTTCGACCATCCATATGGGTAGCCATTTTTTCAATTTGTATAGATGTAGATCAATTATTTATTGCTATTTGAATGCTAACCTAACCTGAGTATACTACAATTAGTCAAGGTAAATATCCTYGACCTTGGTCGAGTTTAAATTTCCATCCCCTGGTGGTTTTGAACTTTAAATTTATAGCAATTCGATTATTCTTTTCACCAAGGACTTACCAGGCACCTGACTAGCCTACAAAGACGATGGCAAGCTCACGTTGTCCCTGTCCCAAAAGATTTTGAAATTATGAGTGGTAGTGTCTCCTTCAACTTTTGACATTTTACAACTAGAATTTCATTTGTTTATGGTATATTACTTGGGTGCAATTCGATCTTTTTAATGGTTGAATGTTGAGATAAGTCATCATTTTGAGAATGGTCTCTTGTGAAACCATCTGGTCGAGAAAACAACATTCAAATTGTACAATGATATAAAAGAAAAATGTACATCTTGCCCAGTGACATCTTAATTACATTTTTAATAAAAACAAGCTTTGTATTTATTTTACAAGTTAATGGTCAACATCATGCATTGGGTCAGTGAGGCCTATCACCTTAATTATATACATCAAGGATGTAAATTTATAAAGAATTTATTTTATGAGTTGAATTACAAAATGGAATCAAGCCAATCAAGAATAGAAACCGAAGGCAATGGATTAAAATGGAGTACAGAGACGAGCCAAGATAAACATCTGCATTAGGTAGGGAAAATAACTGGATGAGTGATGGTATTGGTATTATCATTTATAACTTCCCTTTCACCCTCAAAGATGAACAAAAAAAAATTGAAGATTTCTCGACCTCCAGAAAAAACATCAAACTAAGATCTTTTGTTAACAAACACCAGTTTACATTGATCAAATGTAATGAAACTATTCTTAGAATTGTTCTTGACATGTTTATCGAGTTTCAAAGGAGTCATACTAATAATACTACCATACAAATTATCATGAGATGATCTAGTGGTCAGCTAATGTAAATAGCAAAGGACTTAAAATGAATGAATTCAAACCATGGTTACCTAACAAGGAAAGAGGTAAATAGCCATTTTTCCTTATCCAAAATTATGAATAATAAGAAGGAATCACGTGTCTGATTAAAAAAAAAAAAGCGTCAGCTAGCCTTCCAATAAAGAGAAAAAAAAACCTCATTTTGCTAAATAATTTGAAAATACCGGTTTGTCTATTTTTTAAAAAATATTTTCAAAAAGTCCCTCCATCCAATCCTAACTCGAAATAATGTATATATTAAAAAAAACCTTAACTCAAAATCGGAGTTTCCACCCCTCTTCGATTTGTTTTTGATGATCGAAAGTTCTTTCGGCCATCACATATGAAGGTGTAGATTCTAACTCACAACATTTTAATCAGAGATGAGTACTTTAACTAGTTAAATCAAACTCAAATTGATTCGACTAAATATTTGGTTGGTATCTATTATTAGTTTACAAATATATTACTAAACACATTTAGAATAATTTGTTAATTTAATTTCTTATTTTTAGATTTATGTTTTAGATCACCGTACCCTAAACTACTCTGTCTAAGTAAAAAYAAAAATTTCCATAAGCTTCTTAAAAATTTAGTTCTGTTTTACATTAAAAATAGTGAGAGATCAGAACATTTCTAGCCCTAAAAATGAATACCGGAAAAACATTAAGTAAAAGACGAAAATACCCAACCCAGTTGAATTAAATAAGTTCTTAAACCCTAGCTGCGCGGTTTCCTGTATCCCCGCCATTTTACCGTCCTCCATTTTCTCGACAAGAGTTCAAGAGCTAGGGTTTTTCGCCAGGTATTGATTTCTCAAACCCTCGACTATTAGGCAATTATCACCGCGCTTTGGATTTATATATTTCATTTGCATTCGAGACTACGGATTATTCCTCCAATTATCTATGAATGTTATGCTAGTCTTGTATATTTAGGACTTTTGTATGAACTTCTGTGCAATGACTTGATTTTCCCCTGAAATTTGTCAGGTTTGAGCATTTGGCAACGATGTATCTTCAGTTTTACATAAACGACAATGGCGACAAAGTCTACACCACTAAGGTTTGTCTTCCTTGTTCATCTTTTCGCTCTTCGTTAGGAGTTACTCTATGCCTCATGTCAATGGAGTCGCAGGTTACAACTCCCCAATGCAAATAATAGTGATGCTGCCTCTTTTCTTTTCTCGTCTGAGTTCGATTTTTTTATATTAATTCTAAATGCTTAAACTGCGTCTGCTGTTTAATTGAGATATAAGTTATAACTGATGATGAAAGAGTATGGACCGTAAGTGTGGAGATTGGATTAGTTCTATTTGTGCAGGCCTACTTTAAAACATTATAGCTATACCTCTCTTAAGATTGAAGTAGGCTACAATCATTTAGTGCTAGTWGTTTGCGAAATTTATATGAGAAACATTGAGATATATTGGGCAAAAAAAGAGAGGAGATAAAACTTAGGGCCTGGGGTTGGAGGGAACCCTGCCCAAAAACACTAAAAAAGAAGAACCTTCCAATTACAAAATATCATAAGGAGGCTATAAGTACAAAAGAACTTATTGTGGTTAGAACGCACCAAGACRTAATATGCTGTACAATATTACAAAACTATTCCTGTGATTCCTCTCTTTCCAAATAAGTCGAAGAAGAACTCTCACCATGCAGCTCCAAAGAACCTTAGCCTTGCTTTTGAAACTCGTACCTGCAAGGATTTCCAAAAGGCAAACACCCACCAAGTTTGGGAGACAAGCTGATAACCCAAACTCAGTCCAAAGGAAGCATAAGGACAGTGAGGGTAAATAATTTAAACACTACCACCATCCATTTTTCATAGACAACACAATTTATTTTATACCAATCAAACAATTGATAAAATCTACAGTGTAACCTTTGTTTAGAATGTCTAAACTTCCCACAAAGTAGGATTATGTGTATGGATAAAATCTACAGTGGAACCTTTTGATGTAGATGTTTTCTAAATGACTGGGAGACCTAAGTTTCACAGTGCAAATTGTGTGGATAACTGGGACTACTTCTTCTGGCATCTGAGGTCAGTGGTTGTATCTCTTCGAAGGTGCTATTTTGGTTACCCAATTAAACGTAGATATTAAACTTTAAACCAAGTTCTCCAAGGCCTTGTGGAGTTTCAAAATTCCAAAGCAAGTGAAAGCTTTTGGTTTGGACCCTTACATTCCAAGGATTGAGCACTGCTGGTTCAGAACTTCTTGTCTCTTTACTGGTGCATTCTTTGTTATAGAACACCGTGGAAGATAGCAACTATATCTTTCTGTGTTGCTTGTCTAGTGTGAAGGTTTTGGACGACCTTTTTGAATGCCTTTAGCCTCTCACTGTCTTACCTAAATCCACTTCTGAAGCTTTAGATGAACTATAATGATTCTCATTTCTTGAAAAATCTGTTGGATCAATCAACGCAGTGATGGAAATCTTGTGGAAGCTGGGGTTCAAGAGGGAATTTGAGGTCTTTTCATAATCACTCGCCTCGCTCTTAAGAGTTTTTTGAGATATTGTGAGGCCTGTATTATTTATATTGGTAGTGATTTTGTTAATTTATTTGTCTGAATACATCACACATGTCAAAGATGCTTTCTGCCAGTTTTGAGGCAAAAACAACGTACTGTTGATGATGCTGTGATTCTGGATTTTTTTTGCAGAACCAACTAAATTGTAATAGGCTTGTGCCGAGTTTTCATATTTGGTGGAAATCTTGTATTTCCATGATTTCTTATTYGGTAGAATTGTACATTTTAAAATTCAAACCATTGTGTTGATTAAATACAACCGAATCAATCATATGTTGATTCAAGGCAAATTGTGCTGTTTTCTATCATAAAGCACACGCTTCAACAACCTTGATAACCCGTTGCTATTTCCCTGCACTGATTTGTACTTTGTTTTTATCCTGATACTTAACGTATGCTAAATCATCTTGTTGCATTTTCCTCTCTTGTACAGAAAGAATCACCTCTTGGTTTGGTCACGCAATCTGCCCATCCAGGTAAAATTCTTTGCATTATCTGGCTAGTATTGTGCTAATTATATACCATCTCGTTTCACTGCCTTGCATAATTATCAATTTGATTTTGATAGGTAGATTGGCCATGCTATACTTCTGTAACTTCACATCTTGCTATAGTAATTGATTGAAACAATATACGCGGTCTATGTCATCCTTCAGCTTTCTCGGTAGAAATACATCATATGCTCTCTATATTGTTTGACTGGATTATTCAGATATTCCCTGCTAGGCTGTCCCTTATTTTAGCAGTTCTGGGGCTGATTATCTGTTGTACATTTTCTGACTGCAGCCCGTTTCTCCCCTGATGACAAATACTCGAGGCAGAGGGTTCTTCTTAAGAAGCGATTTGGCTTGCTCCCCACACAGCAGGCACCGCCAAAGTACTGAACTGAGTGCATTCTCAAATCAACTGTGGTGCTTTCTTCAGTGTTTAGTTCCCAAACCGCTCCACCTATAGTAGATCGTGACTTGGTTAAACTTTGATCAATAGTTTTGCCTTTTCTTTCTATGGCTTGTAATTGAGCTGTAAAGCACAAATCASTACTGAACCTTTATGTTTGTCTTTGGCTTTATATCTGTACTGAACTTTATTTTACTGAAAGCAAGCTATCTACTTTGAAGAGTTGGTTAATGCAAGATGGTCCCTTTTCCATTATTTTTTCCTTTTGGTACGTCATTGCAGTTGTAACGCACCATTGCCTGCTGATCTTTTCTAAAGTTGTTGGCCTTGTTTATGTATTTAACCTGATTTACTAACAATCAATTGAGCATAAGCCATTAGGTGGTAGTCCCCCACTCCCTCGAAGTTTGGTTCCCTCGTCGTCCTGGTTCGAGATCAGACGTGTGCTGAAATTGGACGATTCCAACCCATAAAAGTTCAGGTACCCAAGATTCACACCTTTTTTTGTTTTTTGTATTTTTAATTTTTTATCCACTGGCTGGCAGTATTTTCTTAGGGAGAGAGCATTGATTATGTGCTTCTCCAGATTRGTAATTAGTAAATATGCTTTTTATTTCAGGGTATCGAATTTGAACTTTGAGAAACGCTGTTCAACTCAGCAAATGGGTTTGGATTTTGGGCCTAAGTGGCCATATACTGTTTGCAAAAATATAGCTTAATGGATTTGATGTGAAACTCTCCAGCCACATCCAATAATAATGAACTACAACCAGAAATAGAAATACCATCTGAAACAGGTATATCTTCTCCTCATCAACCATTTTGAATTGGGTTTGGTGTCTCTAAAATAGTATTTTATATGTCATAGGACTTGTTTAATAATTAACACTAGTGACAGATATCTCATTAGATTAGTTAAAGTTGCGAATTCTAATCAAAACACAAAGCGGGCCAATGTTGTAGAATAAAGGCATTTGTGACAAACTGCGGGTGTCAAATTATTGTCGKAAGATATAAACCGTGTGGAATTATCGTCGTGTTAAAAACGATTTGTGCTTGTCTTTCACATAGATGAATGACCTTGTTGATGCCTTTTCCATTTAAAAAAAAAAAGAAAAAATGAAACATGAAATGAACTTAGCTTCTTGAAAAGATTGATGGTAATATATTATATCTTTGTTATTGATATTGTTTTTTTAGAAAAGGAGGAGGAAGAACATGGCACCCAATGAAGAAGACAAGAACCTGTAGCCCTTTTCTTAAATCACAAAAGCCATTCTAACATGATCTTCTTTATTCTCCAAAAGATATGATTTGATATACGTGAGTCTAAATCACCAAGAGTTTGTGGTTAAATASTTTAATTAACACAATTTCTTTTGTGTTTTAATTATCAGCCTGCTTCTTCTTATTGTTATTAAAAATAATTTTGAAACTACGCATTAAAGTGATTTTGAAAGGAGCCAATTATAKTGAAGTATTGTATAGAAACCTATTATTTATGTTTTTTTTAGCTTAATGTATTATGAACATTGCCTCTTTGTCAACTAAACATCGTTGAAGGCAGCATCTTATTTTTGTCAACAACTATGTGCTGAAAATATCTCAATAATCTAATCGCTATGTTTCCCAAATTTATCGAAACAAAAAAGACAAAAATAATGCAATTTTTCAAGCTTTCTCCATTTGGGCATGGGTGAGGTGTCTAACTTTGAGCACATCCCTTTATATATTATGTTAATTGATCTCAATCTTATATTTAATTGTAAAATTATATTAGGAGTATATTAAAATGGATTGTTTATGTTATAGGAAATAACTTTAATATACCTCACATATACATACGCGCAGATAATAAAAGTGACATAAGTTAACCTAAGTATAGCTCAATTGGTATTCGAATCTCTACTAACATGTTATTGAAAAAGAAAAACAGAAGAGTGACACAAGTGTCGGATTGTGTAAGATTTGTTTTGCTTCAACATCTCTCTTTTTCTTTTTTGAATTGAAGAGAAAATCAAAAGAAACTCTCCCTCATCTATTCCTGTTTTCTTAAATTCTTTTCTTTGGGATACATTTGTAACAAGAAACTTTCAAGTCTGAAATTGGGTTGAAATTATTTTCTACAGAGTTTGACACCTTGATGATGATGGTAGAATCAAACGTGTTTTTGCATTAAAAATTGCCCAAAAACTCATGAAGATAAGAAGTAGTATTCAATTTGTTGAGAAATTGATGAGACTTTTTAGACTAAATATACACTTAAATTCTTAATGTTTTTTTTTAATTTTTAATTTTGCTCCTAATATTTTCAAAATTCCAATTTTGTCCCTTATTTTCATCCCTATAGTAGCTAACTATATAGTTAAAAAAACGATGATATATATGAATTTAAAAGTGGTAATTTTTATAACTTTGTTTGATGAGTCAATTTTCTTTAACAATAACTTTAGACCCCTTTATATATAAAAAAAAAACAAATAATAATAATAAATTTAGATCCAACAAGTTACTATTCATGGACAAAGTAGTATGTTTAGTTCATCCAACTAAAACATAAAGTACTTACCTGAATATATCTCAACTAGTTAAGGTATATATCCCGACCAAAAGATTGTGAGTTCAAGTTTCCATTCCACGTATTGTTGTACTAAAAACAATTAAAACATYGAATATTTTTAACACAATCAATAAAAATGTATTTTCATGTATTACACCATCATTTTGTCGACTAACTTTAATGTTGGGTGAAAATAAAAATTTAATAGAACAAATTCAATACATTAGAGATGAAATTGAAACTCTTGAAACATTGAAAAAGTATTCAAAATATTAGAGATTAAAGCATAGGTATATTTAACCATTTAAAAATTCACAAAAAAAAAAAAAGAAAAATTTCATACAGACATCCATGATTTAAAATTCATGCATCTCCAACATTTCAAACAATAATTGCAAAAATGTTCTGTAATGTATGAGATTATAGAGAGAGAGAGAGGCTGTGATTGAAAGAGAAGCATATATTATATTTAACTGTTACTGAAAATGATTAATTGCGTAAGGAATATAATTCCAACTGAAAAGTCGTTTTCCATGTAACCCAAACAAAGAATCAGGTTCTCCCTTTCCATCTTTATTAAAAAAGGAATCTTAATCATATATATTATTTTTCTTTTTTTTAAACAAATCATATATATTAATTATAGCTTCTTCACTTGGTTAACTTAACTTAAAACGTATATATTTAATTATATTATATTATATTATATGTGGGGTATTATTTTAATGATCCCGTAATATTTAGGTATATAGAATATGCCAAATTATGAAAGAAAAAAACAAAAAAAACTCCTGAATTTGCGATTTGTTAAAAAAAAAAAATCCTATCAATTAATTTTTTTTAATACTACTCTTAACATTACTCTTAACATTTCATAAACGTTTCAAGAATACAAGYTATTTGAGCACATGTCTATTGATAATTTGAACTAAAAATTGATGTGACAAAATTTGGAATGACGTGATAATTAAYATGGAAACTTATTTGGATTAAATTTGAAAAGAGAGAAAATATAGAAGAAATTATCATTTTAGAAAGGGAGATTAGGATAAAATTAGGACTATCATGATAACGGAGGAAGAATTTCAGATTCTGTTACGTCTGTTTTAAGAGGCAAAATTTGAAGTTGTTTTTTTATCCACTTCTTTTAATAATTGTTTGCATGATGAAGTACTCTATTTTATATAGATGTATGCAAATTTCACATAGTAACTTCTATTCACAAGTTTTAGTACCAAAAAAGAAAAACTCCTTCATTGATAGAGAAGAATATGATTGGTGTCCAAATTTTTATATGAGTCCCTTCATTTTTGTTCAAACTTGAAAGATGTATTTAATATGTAAGTACATAGTAGGGGCTTGGGTGGGGGGCTCATATTCAATATTCATAGACAAAAACAAATATCCATTGACTGTTTAACTTCAACTTCAACTACACACGACGTCGTATGTGGCCAAAGGGTCTCCACTCTTCTTTGGAAAGAGCAAAGAAATTGACAATTTGACGAGGTTAAGAATATGTTTGATGAACTGGAACACAAACTAGACCTTATCAAAAGAATTTGTCCTTTATGAATTCACACATATAGCCACAAAAAGAGAAAAACACAATTGGGGATCGTTTACTTTTCGAAAATGTAGATGTCATATCTTCGTTAGCGATGCAGATGRCTAACAGTTTTAGATAACCACGTTTGTTTGGTAGAAAAATTTATAAATATGTTTAAGAATATTTGGATAACTATGTTTTGTTATGCATTTGTTATCACGAATGTTTTAAATTTATATACATTTAAAAACGACCAAATGAATCTCTGTATAATTACATTAATTTAATATTAATTTTTTATATGTTATTTTGTAGAACAATGAATTCATCTTAATATAAGATTTTTTTCAAGTTTAATATATTTTCAAAAAGAAAAATTATATAATTGATGTTTTCTTGAGTGAAATATATTTATCATTATCGAATAAAAGTATTAAAGGCAGGTTGTTCCTTAAAAATAAGGTTTTGGTTTAAAATTATATATTTAAAATAATAAATATAATTCATTCAAATAATATTAAAAAGGAGATATTATATAATTTAATKGAAGTTTTTTTTAAGAATAATTTAATTGAATTAGTTTATATGTAAATGTAATATATAAATATATTTAATATTCATAAAGTTGTGTATTATTCAACAAGTATATTAATTTATTTAAATTATAAAATTAAAAATTAAAATTAAAATAAAAAAATTGATGAAAAAAGAATGAAAGGCCAGATATCATTCTTTGATTTTTAGTTTAATAACGTAAGAGTGAGTAGTCCCCTATATCTTATATTATATTTATAATATCTTAATTAATTGAATTATATTCTTTTTATTTCAATAATAATGGCAGTGGTAGGTGGCCGGACCATTAATTTTTTAAATGGCAGTAGATGCTTTATCCACCCTAAATTAGGCTCAAATTAACCCATAGGTATATTTCATAAATTATGGTAAAAAATGAAATTGTAATATGAGTATCCATACTTTGGCTATTTAAAATTACATAWAAAAGAAACCGACGCTATTATTGATTATATAGCATTGAGAAGATTTAAAAAAAAAAGATAAAATCTATTTTTTTTAATCTATATATATCAGGACTAGCTTATGTGTAGCGTGCGATAAAACTCATAGGATATTAACTCCTAAGGA